TCTATGTAACTCACCTTGGTAAGAACTTGAGTTGTGCAGAGAACTGTGATTCAGCCTGGATGTAGGCCATTTTAGGAAGGAGTTCAAGATGATTCTTGAGCTCTTTACACACTTCAAACTTTAATCTTAATGCAGATGTCGCCCTGATGAAATAAATAAGACCTTTAAAGGCTGATTTACACGGTACGATTTGTCGCGCACGACTTGTAGTATACGATTTTCCTACTACAAGTCGTAGGATTTTAAGCAGTGGTTCAAAATCCTACTACAAGTCGTAGGTTGCGTACGACTGTTGTAGACAAGTCGTAGGGGCATTTACACTGCTCGATTCAAGTCGTATACTACAAATCGCACGAGACAATCGTGCCGTGTAAATCAGCCTCAAGGGATTTCCGAGACAGAAATGCATCGAGCGAAAACAGCGCAGTTTACCCTTTTTATAAGTCCCGAGGTATTGTGTTCTCCGTACTTGACGTCAAATTTATTCTTTGGAATACCTTTTCTATCAAGCTCCGCCCCCAAGTCGCAGACAACCTCAAACCCAACAATTTTTTTTTTTGACCATAGACAAGTGCAGGGTTAACTGTCTATCAAAATTCTATAAAGCCATCCCCCAAATCTAGAAACAGAATGCCTTGAATTCTCACCTGTTATTCACAACAATGGCATCTTGATAAAGACGGTCGTACATRCAGATCTTTAGGTCAACAACCTCACGCTCTACCCATACAGGGACATCAATACCACACCCACGACCACGCACCATTATCTAATTATAGCAACAGTTCAATATTAGAACCAGATACAGTAAAATCCCGCGTATAAGAACACCTATTTCGGCGGTTCAGGCTGATTTGGTTCTTATATAAAGGGTTACAATCTACAAAATCAGCCTCTAAGTGTTCTTAAGTGTTCTTTAAAAAAGTTTCTAAAAATAAGGAACATGCTAGACTACCATCAATGTAACAGTACATATTTTTATTTTGTTTTTAAAGTATTAAAATACTTTGTTACATGTAATTGGGATGGAACTATAATTTATGTGTACAATGAAAAGTAGTGTTGATCTTTGATATTTTTCCATATAAGAACAACTTTTATTTTTAAGGCTGAATGTGTTCTTATATAAATGGTACTTTATTTCCTAAAATCAGGCCGGGGTGTTCTTAATCCACTTGTTGTTATACGCGGATTCTTACTGTATTCACATCATGAGGATGTGAAAACAAGGGAAATCCATATAGAGAAGAAACTCGCAATACGGACACCAACTTTATACGGCCGCACCGTTATAACGGCCATGGTTTTAGATCCCGCAGAATTAGAGCAAACGCAGGAAAACCATGAAATAAAACCAAACTAAATACTAACAAATAGCTGCTATTTAAAGACAATTTGTCAGTATCAATGAACCAGAACTTTTCAATTGTTAATTTATATTGATTCATAGTCTATTGTATATATGATTCATTTCGATTGCGTTCAGGTTCATTGATACCGACAAATTTTCTCTAAATAGCCGCTATTTGTTAGTATTTAGTTTGGTTTTATTTCATGGTATTCCAGCGTTTGCTCTAAAACCTCATTCTCTGCTGCCCAGTTAATACGCTCACCCCATTATTATGGCCACTTTCTGATGTCCCCTCTATGGCCGGAATAGTGAGGTTCTACTGTATTCTAAATGCGATCATGTGAGCAAAGTTTGCGGATTAAAATACTTACCGGAGGAGAGAGTGGGTCACTGAAACTAATCTCGAAGTCCGACAAGACATTTCCTGCCTTCACTGGAGCGAATAARATTTCAAGTTGAACAGTGGAAAATGGACCAATGTTCCCTGACGCCAGCTATAAATAACATTATAACAAAATACATATTGGTATAATAATTGGTATAATAAAATGTATACCGGAATAACTTGATGTATTTGTAATACTCATGAAAAATTTGTAAACAAACCTTGTTCGCCGCTATTTTGCGGGGAAAAAACGCGGAAAAACTGATCACATAAAACTGTACTTGTCAAGTATAATGCAATTTGAGACATTCACATTTACCTTTCCAACTTTTAAGCCATCCATTATCATWAGATCAGTAGGTACAGGAGAGACTGTGTTAATRCCAGTWTCAAAACCATCCACTTCATCGACCGGAGGCTCAWCTAGATTTTCRGGTTCACCATCTTCAAATTGTACCACTGTAGCTTTCTCAGAACCTGACTTGCTTTCACTTACAGGRATCGCAGCTGCAAGAATTTAAGAAATACAAATTATTGGAGTGRCTTTTTGAGTAAACTAATAGACATCGAAACATGTGTTTGATTGCTTCCTGAAGCCTGGAGTAAATATAATAGCTTCCTCAATGACAACAATCGAGAAACACGCGTATCTGTCCGAGCCTACAATCGTGGACAATTTCACGACACCCGCGTCGAATTCCGTGCCCCCCCCCCCCCCGGACAACTGTACAATGTTGGGTGTCTCTTTTCATTTGTTTATTTTTTTGCTTCAGTACGATGACATCGTATACAAAAATAGCATTGACTGTGGGGGAAGGAGGGAAGAGGATGGGGAATGTAGGGCTATCTCGTCAGTGAGTTAGTAGAAAATTAACAAGATGTGTTAAAGGGACATGGTCCACCAGCATCCCTTTCGAACCTTTGCTCATGTTTGAAAATAAAGATACATCGTATTATAAGCGAAAACTTACTCTTTATTATCCCTTTATCCTATATGAATGGAGATACTGTAAGATTCGACCTTTAAACCGACGGATGGAAACGGATTGCGAATGGATATTTGAAGTCACCTCATTTTCCATATATGAAAAATCTAAAACACGACCGCACTGAATGCTGATGGACCGTGTCCCTTTAAGTCGAGTAACTGTTTCTTGTGTCCAAATGTATATTGTCCATGATTGTAGATCGATTGATATTACGCGGAAGTTTGAACTTCAAGCTCATAATAAAAAGTATACAGGTACTATACCCTTATCAAGTTGTTCATCTGTAATGCCCTCACTAGCAGTGACAGCGTCGACAATGCCTTCTGGCTTAGTTTCTTCAGCTTCTGGCTCAGCTTCGCCATTTTCTTCTGTTATAGTCTAAAATATTTATCCGTTATTAATAAATTAACATATTAATATATTGTTGTGGCTATTTGTACCTGGACCCAGTCAACTCCCAGTATACTGTCGATCTATACGTAGCAAAAGACTGGTTAAAAACCCCAGGAAACAAGAAGATCATTCTACTGTTTCCCTAAATCCTCATTTCAATTTCTTTGTGCATGGTTAGTCAGCCAAAATTTGGAAAGTGGGCTATTTTGAAAGTAGTCTTTTGGACTTGACAAAAATTTAAAGATTGTAAGATTGCATAATGCGATGTATGTGTTCCTACCATTCCTCCAATGCTTGATATATCAGAAGTGGCATCAGACCTGTCCAGAGCTGTTTTGAACAAACATTTGTCAACAATTATCATTTACTAATATTAAATGAAGGGGAGTATGATTTAGGATGTTAAGTGGAAGGAATGAAAAACATCAACAAAGGACGGTAGGAAGAATTGAGAAAAGGATGAAAGTGAGAAAAGGAAAGAATGAGAAATGAAAGCCAGGAAAGAAAATCATGAAAAGGAAGGATTGGAGGAAAAAGGCATGAAAAGCAAGAAAAGGACAGAGAGAAGAAGTGATAAACAGATGCGAAGAAAGGAGAAAAAAGGGAATGAAAACAAGGAGCAAGGAAAAACAGATGCAAGGGAAAAACAAGCAAGTCAGAACAGAAAATTGTTACAGCAGAAACCGTTGCATCGCGACTTCAATGTTCAAAGGAAATAGTTGGGATTTAVRTTTTTCYGCGACTTGGGGGCGGAGCTTGATACTAATCAGCCAATGATTGAGCGAGTTTTCGAAAAGCTCCGCCCCTCAGATTGACAGAAAGAGCAAAATCCAAAATCCGCTGTAACAGAAAAATCCGCTGTAACAGAGACGAAAGGGAGGAAACTWGCAAAGAAGAAAGAAAGGAGGAAGAATAAACAAATAGTTAAAATAAAGAAGACATAAAAAAAGAGCGACAATAGAGAATGAAGGCGGAATTAAGAATAGAGAATTAAGACAAGTTCGTAGTAGAAGAAAAAATCAAACAATAAATAGGAAGTAAATGAAAACAAAAGAATAAAGGATAATTTCATTTATTMAACATTATTTTCAATACCTGATATTTTCTTAAACTCGAAGTCAGTKCCCAGTGCACCATTGTTAGTCATTGTGACGATTCTTTTCCTTGTTTCACCAACAACTTGACTGGCAAAGTCCACCTCAACTACATCTACTTTAACCTAGATAAAAWCAAGTCAATCSRTGATTTAAAAAATAATGATGAAAAKTTATTCTCTMCACYACAATGGACATTCTTCACATACCTGGCATTTCTTTGTCATACATTTAATAGGTAAAGCAAAGGGACCAGTTTGAGCCAGGAAGTCAATCTGGCCTTCCAGGTCTTCATTGAGCTGAAGAGAGAAAACTCGTG